GCTTTTGTGGCGAACTCGACGCGCTCTCACAAATAAAAACTACATTAAAAATGACATGATAATATTGAAGAAATAGGAACAGAGCAAACCTTCGTAAAAAATTTTACGACTCCTTGTCCGACTTCGCGCGCTCTCCTCAAATCTCGATTTACCACTTCTACAGTGAAATTTCCACAGTAATTGATGTGTCCTGCATGACTTTCCAGCAGTGATTTGAATAAAGATCGTTTGTCATTCAACAGACGTATGATGACCTCAGCTCCAACATCGATCGTAGCCAAAGCCCTGCAAATAAGCTCCACTATCGCACCACTACCGCCTTCTACCGTGACTCCTCTGTGTCCCAGGTGGAAAACTGACTCACCTTTGCCATGAAGCTTGTAGAAATACTGCTTCATCAGCAGTTAGAACAATTGTATCACCGTCTTCGTTATCCACGGGGCTGTCCGCACGTCGAGGAGTGAAAGGTGAACGCACCTCGTCTAACATCATCAGGCAAAGTTGGGAATTTCTGAACTCAAAGATTTTTTATAAAATATTGATTTCCGTTCAGTATTGGTCATCTTTTAATAAAAGAAGAACCATCAAGGACTGCACATATATTATCGAGTTTCAATGCAATAAAATTCGAGAGTAATGGTGCAGAGAAAAAAATCGAGGAAGAGATGCTTAGAAGAAATTAACTATATATTTATTTGTCTCACAATTCTTGAAAATATTGTGAAGGAAAATCTTCAAAACAGCTGAAATAACGGTTTACAAAATACTTAATCCCATGTTTGATAATTGTAGCAAGAGTAGAAAATTAATTCAAATTGTGAACTCTATCAGAGAAACTCGAAAATTGAATGTAATAGTTGAAAATCTTTATTTTTCATAGAAAAGTCCTTTTTGGCATAAATTGTCTCAATTATGAAGAGTGCGTTACAAAACTAATTTTATAATCTGAATCTAACTTTTATTAGCTTTTTAGAACCTTCAAAGATATAAGAGCATAGCTAGGAAGCTCATTATTGTTTTGTTTCCAATAAACATTGGGAAAATTACTCATTCATCGTAGAAAGAAGAATTTTAAAGACTTTATAAAAATTTCTAAAAAGCTGTCGAAACATTGGTTGGCTTTCTGGAGGCTAATTCGCAAAAGCCTTTGAATTTGCGAGCTTCTTCCTATTGCAGTTTTGTACTGCAGAACATCAAGATCATCCGAATCAGTGCAATTCTCAATTATATTTAGTACCACAAAAAATAAGGAAGTAGTATGACAGAGACATCGTAAAAGTAACAATGTGCGTATGAGTATTAATCATGCTGAACATATGAAATTTCATGCTTGTTAAGAAAACATGAAAGACTGAAAAGTACGCGCGTCTAGAACATGTTTACTGAAAATCTCTGCTTTTGCCTTAGCCATGAAGAGGCACAAGGATTCGTGGAATTGTTGATTTCATAAATAAGAAATGTACCTTAATGCATGCAAGCCGTACTAGGAAGTGAATCATTATGTTATCTTCAAAAGCATCAGAGTTAGTTACTTGCTGAGGGGGGG